GCGGAGGGCAGCGTTCTGTGCTGACTGGAGGCGGCGCAAGCTGAAATAGCTCGTCGTAGGAGACCAGATTGGTGCCGCATAAGTGAGATGCGGCTCAGGGTTGCATGGTACGGCGGCTGCGATGGCCCAAATCGCATTTATGCGTCCGCATATTTTTTTTCGTGAGGTGCCGTGCGAATTGTTGTTGCGGACAGATGCCCTACACATCCATTTTTTTCTTCGAGATTATCTCACCTACTGCTTTAGTGCCTACGAACCTGCCCGCAAAACATCCCCCTTAGTAGACCTTACTTCTTTCCCGTGACAGCACCATCGTTGAAAATGTGGGTATTTCACAGGATGTAAAATTCCATCTATACCCCTTATTACTGTTGTCTCGCGGATTTTTGACCTTCCATAGGGATTTGCAGTTCTCTTCCGCTCGCGAATTCTGACCCGTGTGGGTGCTGGCTCATTTCTTAAATCCCGCTTATGTTGTGGACGGCCCTGTTTATGACGTTTGAAGTCAATTTCTCTTGCTCCTTCACAGTCTTCAGTCAGGACGAGCAATCTTCCGATGAAGATGTGGAAGTCATCGGTAACCAGGGCATTCGTGTAAGTTCACTCTGCCTTTCTCCGCCTTCTTTAACATACAAGAAACAAATTCATCACTGAAACCCTTATTTAGACAACTATTTATAGCTTCAGGTGGTGCATGTGTGATTCCTGTCTAATTAGTAAGTGCATCGACGTATGAGGATTGACAGTAGTTAATCGATCTTCCTTCGCTCCGTCTTCAACACTTAGTTGCCTCGTGGGTAGTTGCTGTGGCTGGAAAATTTGCGTTTATTGGAACCCGACCCGCGTGTTCTTGTTCGGTTAGGATGGGAAAGTCGGTATTACGCTTAAATTAAACCTCTATGCTGGACTATTCCTTTCTTTGGCAGTCTCACCGGAGGATCTTCCGGGCCCTCTCCTGGGTCTGCATAGCAACAGGGAAATATAGGTCGGTCTTTGCTGTCACTAGTTGGTGTTCGTGAGCTCTGTTATGGTGCCTATTCTCCAATTATGTTTCTACGCC